GTAGACGTGGCTTATATACTGTAGTGAGGTGAGGTGAAGCAGGTGGAGGCGGGGTCATAGTGGTACCATCCACTAGTCGAAGTAGGTCTTCGACCTACTCTCCTTACGCCTTCCTCTTTGTATTGGACTGATGAAGCCACTGTGCGGCGAAACGTTTCCTGAATAAAGATTTCCATATGCTGCATAAGTGTCTCAATCTTCAACTTGTCGGTTTTTCAAACCATTCATCACAACTGTCAGACACTGCAGCATCATGGGATCTTGCTACAAAGAATTTTTCAACACTTGTTCATCCTTTGGACGAAGACCTACTTCGACTAGTGGATGGTACCACTATGACCCCGCCTCCACCTGCTTCACCTCACCTCACTACAGTATATAAGCCACGTCTACGGCCCTATGCTGTACATTCTACAAGATTGATGGACTGAACACATCGACTCCAGGTTGAGGGACTGATTACCTCATACTCCTCCTCTCCTTACGCCTTCCTCTTTGTATTGGACTGATGAAGCCACTGTGCGGCGAAACGTTTCCTGAATAAAGATTCCCATATACTGCATAAGTGTCTCAATCTTCAGATTATGTATTGGTGGATAAAAGGTTGATGGATAGGCTCCAGGATGTACATGTTTATAGAGGGGCAACTGATATGTCGGATCATTATTTAGTTGTAGCTACAGTTAGAGTAAGAGGTAGATGGGAAAAGAGGAAGGTGGCAACAACAAGTAAGAGGGAGGTGAAAGTGTATAAACTAAGGGAGGAGGAAGTTCGGGGGAGATACAAGCGACTGTTGGCAGAAAGGTGGGCTAGTGCAAAGACGAGTAGTTGGGGGGTTGAAGAGGGTTGGAATAGTATTAAAAATGCAGTATTAGAATGTGGGGCAGAAGTTTGTGGTTATAGGAGGGTTGGGGCAGGTGGAAAGAGGAGTGATTGGTGGAATGATGAAGTAAAGGGTGTGATAAAAGAGAAAGTTAGCTTATGAGAGGTTTTTACAAAGCAGAAGTGTTATAAGGAAAGCAGGGTATATGGACAGTAAAAGAAAGGTGAAGAGAGTGGTGAGAGTGTGCAAAAGGAGAGCAGATGATAGAGCGGGAGAGGCACTGTCAAGAAATTTTAATGAAAATAAGAAAAAATTTTGGAGTGAGTTAAAAAAGTTAAGAAAGCCTAGGGAAAGTATGAATTTGTCAGTTAAAAACAGAGTAGGGGAGTTAGTAGATGGGGAGAGGGAGGTATTAGGTAGATGGCGAGAATATTTTGAGGAACTTTTAAATGTTGAAGAAAGGGAGGTGGTAATTTCATGCACTGGTCAGGGAGGTATACCATCTTTTAGGAGTGAAGAAGAGCAGAATGTAAGTGTGGGGGAGGTACGTGAGGCATTACGTAGAATGAAAGGGGGTAAAGCAGCTGGAACTGATGCAATCATGACAGAAATGTTAAAAGCAGGGGGGGGATAGTGTTGGAGTGGTTGGTACTTTTGTTTAATAAATGTATGAAAGAGGGGAAGGTACCTAGGGATTGGCAGAGAGCATGTATAGTCCCTTTATATAAAGGGAAAGGGGACAAAAGAGATTGTAAAAATTATAGAGGAATAAGCTTACTGAGTATACCAGGAAAAGTGTACGGTAGGGTTATAATTGAAAGAATTAGAGGTAAGACAGAATGTAGGATTGCGGATGAGCAAGGTGGTTTCAGTAGGTAGGGGATGTGTAGAACAAGTGTTTACATTGAAGCATATATGTGAATAGTATTTAGATAAAGGTAGGGAAGTTTTTATTGCATTTATGGATTTAGAAAAGGCGTATGATAGTGGAGATAGAGGAGCAATGTGGCAGATGTTGCAAGTATATGGAATAGGTGGTAAGTTACTAAATGCTGTAAAGAGTTTTTATGAGGATAGTGAGGCTCAGGTTAGGGTGTGTAGAAGAGGGAGACTACTTCCCGGTAAAAGTAGGTCTTAGACAGGTATGTGTAATGTCACCATGGTTGTTTAATATATTTATAGATGGGGTTGTAAAAGAAGTAAATGCTAGGGTGTTCGGGAGAGGGGTGGGATTAAATTATAGGGAATCAAATTCAAAATGGGAATTAAGTTACTTTTTGCTGATGATACTGTGCTTATGGGAGATTCTAAAGAAAAAATTGCAAAGGTTAGTGGATGAGTTTGGGAATGTGTGTAAAGGTAGAAAGTTGAAAGTGAACATAGAAAAGAGTAAGGTGATGAGGGTATCAAATGATTTAGATAAAGAAAAATTGGATATCAAATTGGGGAGGAGGAGTATGGAAAGAGTAATGTTTTCAGATACACAAATAACCCGCACATAAAAGACAGAAGCTTACGACGACGTGTCAGCGGATGAATTTATGAAGGATGAGGTTAATCATAGAATTGATGAGGGAAAAAAGGTGAGTGGTGCATTGAGGTATATGTGGAGTCAAAAAACGTTATCTATGGAGGCAAAGAAGGGAATGTATGAAAGTATAGTAGTACCAACACTCTTGTATGGGTGTGAAGCTTGGGTGGTAAATGCAGCAGCGAGGAGACGGTTGGAGGCAGTGGAGATGTCCTGTCTAAGGGCAATGTGTGGTGTAAATATGCAGAAAATTCGGAGTGGAAATTAGGAAAAGGTGTGGAGTTAATAAAAGTATTAGTCAGAGGGCAGAAGAGGGGTTGTTGAGGTGGTTTGGTCATTTAGAGAGAATGGATCAAAGTAGAATGACATGGAAAGCATATAAATCTATAGGGGAAGGAAGGCGAGGTAGGGGTCGTCCTCGAAAGGGTTGGAGAGAGGGGGTAAAGGAGGTTTTGCAGGCAAGGGGCTTGGACTTCCAGCAAGCGTGCGTGAGCGTGTTCGATAGGAGTGAATGGAGACGAATGGTACTTGGGACCTGACGATCTGTTGGAATGTGAGCAGGGTAATATTTAGTGAAGGGATTCAGGGAAACCGGTTATTTTCATATAGTCTGACTTGAGTCCTGGAAATGGGAAGTACAATGCCTGCACTTTAAAGGAGGGGTTTGGGATATTGGCAGTTTGGAGGGATATGGTGTGTATCTTTATATGTATATGCTTCTGAACTGTTGTATTCTGAGCACCTCTGCAAAAACAGTGATTATGTGTGAGTGTGGTGAAAGTGTTGAATGATGAAAGCATTTTCTTTTTGGGGATTTTCTTTCTTTTTTGGGTCACCCTGCCTTGGTGGGAGACTGCCAACTTGAGGAAAAAAAAAAAAAAAAAAAAAATTATATATATATATATATATATATATATATATATATATTATATATATATATATATATATATATATATATATATATATATATAATATATATATATATATATATATATATATATATAATTATATATATATATATAATATATATAATATTATATATATAATATAATATATATAAATAGATACTTATTATGTAAATTATATATAAATATTATTTATATATATTTTATATTTTATTTATGGTCACTTCATATAACGCACTAACAAAAAAAAAAAAAATTACACACACACACAACACACACACACACACACACACACACACATATACAAACACTTGAAATTTTGGAGTTTCCAGACAAAATGGAGAGACTTGGTGCTTACTGAGCTCACAGAGAATGTAAACAAACAGGGTGGGGCGCGGTGACCATATTGGAAAGTCAGGTGGGGGGAGCCGTATAGCGAGTTTTGGTCATAATTTGAAATGACCGCATTAGTGAAATGCCGTAAAGCGGGGCCCTACTGTATATATGCTTCTAAACTGTTATCTGGGCACCTCTGCAAAAAAAATGATTATGTATGAGTGAGGTGAAAGCGTTGAATAATGATGGAAGTAGTATTTTCTCTTTGGGTCGCCCTGCCTCGGTGGGAGATGGCCGACTTGTTGGAAAAAGTCTTGTCTGTATGGCTGTGTACTCTATTTAGGGGCATCAGTGTAGTGGACTGTATCCTGATCCTTTATGTTTGCAAACTGCTGTTTTTCAGTAATAGAAATTGTAGCCAAAAGCAAGTGGGTGGTGCTGCAGCAGTAAATCTAACCCATTTGGCAAAGTGTAGACACCAGACCATAAATCTCTCCTCGTGTAACTTATGGTTTGCTTCAGACATTTATCCTTGTGTTCTCAAAGGAAGCTTAGCATTCATTTTGGGTCATGAAAGTTCTAATTTCCCAATTGTATTAAATTGGGTTTGCATTCCAAAACTGGAAACTGCCTCCTTTGACCAGCTTCAAACCTTAAATTTTGGTGAATCTTAGAAAAATTTGGGTTAATTTTGGGCTGTATAGTGCCAATTTGCCAATTTCATTAAAAATGGACAGTTGAAATAAAACACTAGTTTTCCCCATTAAAATATGTGAAAGCCTAATCCTATTGCCTTTAGACCTTCAGTTCTGATAACTTGAGAATGTGACTTTTGAGATGGTTTCAGACTTCGGTGTTTGTGTATCCCAGGATATTTGTCTTTGTATGATAGCTAGAGAATGTCTTTCTGATTTGTTTTAAACAGAGATTTTCTTACTGGAAGGTTTCAGCTTTAAGATGTGTAGGTGTCAGCTTGCCGCTTGCATTGTAAAGATAAGGGTATTAGTTTGCATGGAATAACTTGTGAATACCTCTTTTGATTGTCTTCAGATCTTCAATGCTGATAAATCTTTTACTGCATTAGAAGCTTATGCTACACCATGCTACAGTTTTTGGTGTTTGAGGTAGGAGTTGGGCTTGTAGAATGCTTTTCTTGGATCGTGCAGTGACTATAACTCGCTTTAATTTTTAAACATTAAGTTTATTTATTGTTGACTTAAAATTCCTACTTTTACTTTAGTAGTTGTAAATCTTTGCCCTACCCATCCTTTATGCATATGTAAAATGAAATGCAATTACTGTGTGTTAGTAAATTTTTAAGATGCTGAGCTTACATAAATATAAATAAATGCTTAATGTTAGTTTTGTTGTATATACAGTGTAAATAATTAGTCTTCGTTTTCAGGCTATGAATGACTTGTGTGGTATGGATTTGGTACCAGAGCCCAAGATTGTCATAGCTGCCTTGAAGGCCTGCAGGCGCAACAATGATTTTGCTCTAGCTGTACGCTTTTTGGAGGCAGTCAGGGAAAAATGTGGTAGGAAAGAAAAGGCTATTTACCCATACATTCTTCAGGTGGGTTTCTCAATCCATTGTTAGACGTTAACTTGTGACTTCACCACTTAATTTTGACATTGTAGCTTGTAATTTCTTAAAAAAAAAAAATGAATTTAAGGTAATATGCTCACATATTCATAGTTTTATTCATGTTTAGCAAATAGTACAACTGGAGTTTTTCCCCACAGGAGATCAACCCGACCCTACAGGAGCTGGGTATCAGTACACCAGAAGAACTGGGATATGACAAACCTGAACTCGCCCTTGCTAGTGTATATGATTAAATTAACTACCCAAGTTGACTAATTGATGAAATACATGTATAGTGCAGTGAGGATCTGGAGCCTGACAGTTCTGAGGAATGTTTTGGTTTGGTACTGACCTAGATCACTCGCAGTCACCCACAAGATGTATTATAAATAATATTTAAAGTGCAGTTTCCATTGTACTAGGGAATCCTTCAGTGTTTTGTGATTTGTACAGAGGGCAAAGATTCCTTTAATTTAATTCAGTTCTCAAATATATGATGTACAGAAGAAATTGCATTTCATTTTACTTTGTAGTGTGATGCTTTGATTAACAAATGACATTTTAGATTTGTATGTACAGAAAACCCATGCAAAACTTATCAAAGATGGTTGTGGATAATACTTCAACACTACAGTTTTTTTTAATGCTAGTTATTCTCTCACTGACTTACTCTTTCAATGCTGGTACAGTCTAAACTGAAAGCATGACTGATCCAGTCATAATTTTCATCCTTGGGTATGCCAGGAATGGCAGTAGTGTTCAGAATTTTTGTTGGAAATGGCCCATTTATAACAGATCAAAGAATTGTGAAGACAAGATGGACATGAAGCCGTGTGTATTCAATTAACTGTGATATTGCAGTAAGATTGATAGGTTAGTATTTGCACCCTAACTCGTTGAGGGAGATGGAAAACTAATGTGGTGACATCAGTAAAGACCTCTTGAGTTAAGGAATTTCTCTCCCTGATAGTGATTTGACCCTAGATGTATCTATATAGATAGGTGGAGGTTAAATGTGCCTAATTGCTGCACTGTGGGGTATCAAATGTTGAATGTTAACCTTGACCCCTCTAAGTGCCTTGATGCTGATAAAGGACTTTTGATCTAAGAAATCAGATACAACCTCCTTAACTTGGATCAAACCTAATTGCCACTCATTCCCCTAGCTACTGTTCGACTTTGGAGGGGTTAGTGTTCTCCCATTTTCTTTTTTCCCTTAGAGTAATGGTTAACCTTGAATGACATCACTGGCATTAAAGACAACATTGGTTAGGTCAATTGGGAGACATTCCACAGGCCAAGATACAAGTTTAACCCTTTGGCTGTTTCGGTCGTATGTATACGTCTTACGAGCTACCGTGGTTGACGTATATACAGTGGACCCCCGGTTAACGATATTTTTTCACTTAAGTAGTATGTTCAGGTGCCAGTACTGACCGAATTTGTTCCCATAAGGAATATTGTGAAGTAGATTAGTCCATTTCAGACCCCCAAACATACACGTGCAAACGCACTAACATAAATACACTTATATAATTGGTCGCATTTGGAGGTGATCGTTATGCGGGGGTCCACTGTATACCATAAATTCTAGCGGCTTCAAATCGAGAAGGAGAAAGCTGGTAGGCCCACATGTGAAAGAATGGGTCTGTGTGGTCAGTGTGCACCATACAAAAAAAATCCTGGAGCACGCAGTGCATAATGAGAGAGTTTTTTTTTTTTTTAATTAAAATGCCGATTTTGTGGTCTCTTTTCGCATAGTATTTGTGGTTGTATTCTCGTTTTCTTGGTCTCATTTGATGGAATGGAAAGCATTATAGAAATGGAGGTAATTTTGATTGGTTTTACTATAAAAAGACTCTGGAAATGGAGCTCAAATTAGGGGAAATGTTTGATTTTTGCCGATGTTCAGAAGTAAACGAATGATGTCATCGTCCAATAAATGTCCAACTAGCCATTCTAATATGCAGTCATGAATGGGTTGACATTATTTGTACAATTATTACAGTATTGCAATAGTCTCCTCTTCAAGGGGGGCTCCTTGGCGTGGTGAAGAGGCTCTTGGTCTGAGGAATTAGACCTATCGGTCTTCTTCCTCAGACCGAACCTAATTACCCCCCAATCTCCCCTCCCCTATCCCATCCTCCCCTTTTTCCTTTCCTCCTCCTCCTCCCCACTCCTCCCTTTTGCCCTTCCTCTTTTTGTCCTTTGGGATTTCTCCCACAGGCGCGCTAGTTCCTAGGTAGGAGAAAGGATACCGGGGTCCATCCCATTCCGTTGAGGTTCTTAGCGGTGGCGTAGTTTGCCGTGGAATCTGGATCGCCTGGGGATGTCCCGATCCCTCTCCGGTATCCCGGAGTGCTTTGGGTGTCTTTAGGGCGACGAGTTGTATCTCGGAAGCCCCCTTTCGGATTCCGGGGGGGGGGCCCAAGGGGGTATGCTTTGTGGCGGGTTTCCCGGCGCCTCCTTTTGTCCAGGTAGTCGGCAGATGTGAGGTTGCTATCCGGATTTTTAGTTTACAGCTTGATGGGTAGGGTTGGAAGGGGTTCCATGCGCATCTGCGCTACTTGGGGTGCTGGGGCCTTTTGGGGCGGGGGGAGATTTCTGGCCCTTTTCTTTCCCTGGGCCCTACCCCCCCGGTCCCCCCTTTTTTTTTTTTTATTTTTATTTTCTTTTTTTTTTTTTTTTCTTAAAAACAAAAGAAAAAAGAAACCAAACCGGGCAGCCCTATCCATGAACCCGGTACCCCCGGGCCCCTTTTTGATACCGCCCCGTTTGACCCGCCTCGTCTTTGGACCACTTTCAGACATTTCCTCAGCCCCGTACCATTGCCGGGGGTGTTTCCCCACCCCTTTAGGGATGAGGCCCCCGATGACTCCCTTTGATTTATCGGACCTTCGCTTCCCCTGACTATGCTTCCGGGGCCCCCCCCCTAGGTGCGGCAATTTTCAAAACGCCGACCCCCTTCCATGTCGGCCAACTCTGGAACCCCCCAAAAAATCAACGAAATTACCTGCTGATGTACTTTTCCCCCTTCTCGTTCTTTCAAAACGTGAACTCCTTCCTCCTTTCCACGCTCAGTTTCAGATGAACAGGGACTAAATTTTTCCTTTAAAGACCAACTTCCTCTATGCCCATCTTTTTGCCTTTTTATTGGCAAGGCACTCCACGCCATGTTTGGGAAAAATATTTCTTTTAGCTCTTAAAAGGGGGTATGCGCATATTACCATACAGAATGCTACCCAGGCCATGAGCTCCTCGTTTTCCATACGATACTGTTCCTTCACTCTTGAAAAACACATTCCCCCAAATTTTTGTAGTGGTACCGTCATTTGCCCCATACCTAGTTCAACAAAAATTTTCCCGACATGTGGCCCGACATTCTAGAACAGCTGGAACTCCAAAAATCCCCAATCCTCAAGGGAACACTTACTTTTTCCCGCCCTGGGCGGGAGATCCCCAGCAATGTGGGGTCGTTTAACTTTTTACACCCGAGAATCCCATCCTCAGTTTTATAGCAGGACACGGTTACAAGTTCGAAAGGTGATCCCCAACCACAACGTTTTGAAAATTTCTGGGGTTTGGGGATCCGCAAAATAATTGAGTCTATCGCCGAATGCCCTCTGTGGTGCCGATGACATTCTAATACGTCTTTCAAACGATCTCCCTCTTGCCTTAATGTTTGAGGCTCCCCTTCGTACTCTCCCCCGTTGTCAGGTCAAATTTTAAACGAGCGGGAAACCCGTTACCTAAAAAGAGACAGAAGGCCCCCCTTAAATCCTGGCAGTTTCCACTCCCCCCAAAAGGGAGTTTCCCACGTGTTTTTTAAATTCCCCCGGTGTTTAAAAAACCCCCCCCCATTTTCTAGTACCCCCATCTTTACCCCACCTTTTGGGGTTCCCTTCCCAAATCACCCTGAAACAAATTTCCTTTTGCTGTCCTCAGCTCAGACGCCAAAAACTTCAAGGGCCTCGTCAAAATTCTCGTTTCTTGGGTTTTCTCTCTCACAACCCTGGGTATCGACGAGCCCCCCGTACGCCCCCTTCCCCCCAATCGTCCCTCTATTTCCCTCAAAAGCCCAAAAAAAGGTTGGGTAACCCCCTACCCACCCTTCCACCCCCTCTTTTTAAACCATCCCTGTCTCTGTCCCAGTTCTTCCCCTCTCACGGGCCTATTTCAAGTGCAGGGGTTCACCCTCCTCCCGAAAATTTTACCTTTCCCCCCCTTTTTCCCCCCAAGTTTCTTCCTCTTCGGGCCACCTCCCAGGTTCCGGCCTCTTCTGCCCCCCTGCCAACTTCTCCAGTTCCCTCCCCCCTTTTTCGCCCCCCCCCCCCCCTTTGGAAACAGTCCAATACAGTTCCAATCTTTACTCTTCCCCCCCCTACCTTTCCCCAATATTGTCTCCCATAGGGAATTTTCTGAATTCCAAAAACACTTGAAGCAATTTTCTGAATTATTGCAGAGCCCCAAACCCTTTAATGGACAGGGACCCAAACTTCCCTCTTTTCTCTCCTCGCCCCAATCTGCGAAACCTCCTTTCTTCACAGCGCACCGTTCCTTCGCTGTTTTAAACATTTTCCACTCCCTCCGCATGTGGCCCTTTTTTTCAAAACCCTTCTAGCCCTAGGAACCCTTCCCTGCGATTTAAATTTTATCTTTATAAATTCCAATAAAGGTTTTTCAGGGGAATTACGGGGCCTCGGGGGAAAATGGGGGTGAGTTTCGATTTTTACTCTCCCTTTTCCCCCTGTTGGTGTTTGCTTACGGGAAAACCAAAATTAAAAACTCTCGGGTTATTTCTCCCCATCTCAGGCTATAATTTTTTTTATTCCAGACCCTTTTTTCCTGAGGGGCCCTTTTAATGAAAGTCCCTTCTTCTCCCCCTTTTGATATTCCGTCCCATCAGTATTTGTTCATACTTCGCTGCATTACACAGCCCAAAGGCCGGAAATCCCTTACATAGGTGGTTACGCTCTGTTTTTTATATCTCTCTCCCTTGGGGCATTATCTTTTCCCGGGATTTTCCCTTTCTTGTTTGTCTTTAAAACCCCACCGATTCTGTTATTTGGTGTTTTTAAATTGCCCACCTTTTCCCTTTGGGGGGGGGGGGTTTCCCTGTGATTCCAGGGGGAAATTTCCCATTTAGAGGCTTTTTCTTGCCACCCACCCCCCCCTTTTTTTTAAAATTTTACAGGTACCACACCCATTTTGACCCTCGGACTCTTTCTTCTGCTTCGATCTCTCAGTTTGCTTTCCTCCGCCGCTTTTAACTTCCCCTTGGTCTTTTTTCCCGGACTTACATGACAGTGATCGTTTCCCAATCATTTTTACTTCCCCTTCATAAATTTGCCGCCTCTTGCACCCCCCGCTTTGGGAATTTAATCGGGGAAATTGGAAAACCTTTTCTCCCCACCCAAATGTTTTTTTAAAAAGGTTCCTTCTTCGTCCTCCCTCGATGAGCTTTTACACCCCCTTTCATCCCCCGTTTTTTACCGCAGCTTTTCATTTTT